CATAGCTGCCTGTAAAATCACACCTGTTCTCTCCCTGTGCCTAGTCTCCTTTGATATGTGAATGATTATGTTACAGAATTTCTGTACTGTATTTGCTCCAAATGAATTTCACATCGTTCTATTTGGTAGGACTTTTTTTTCCTTCTAACTTTTCTACAACTACTAACTTAGAATCATCCACATTCAGATTTGATGGAATGTTCTTAGTGTCTGCATTTAAGTTATTTGTTCATTATGATCCTCAGATCTGATCTCCCAGAATAATAGTTGTGGTTCTATAGTGATGTTTTAAAATATCACAGCCTTGATAATTGGAGTAAATCCAGGTTTTTCTTAGGATATGTACCTATTTTAGTGGTAGTCTCTGTTCTTTCAGTATAAATGGAACTAGCTTCAGCCAACTGTTGACATCACAGTAAAGAAAATACAACTAGTTTTTCTGACTCTCAAAGGGGAAAAAAAATTGCCGACCTGACCTATCTTTTTAGCATAATGTATTTCAAGCACTTTGAAATATTTACTATTTCGCTAGTTGCACAGTTTTTCACAGACTAATCTTGTCCCTATTCTTATCTGTATACACTTTTAGCATATTGACTTAATTTCTCTTCCTTTTTTTCTGGCTTTCTCATTTAATACCATAGCTTTTGGTGTTTTACCTTGCTGTCTTTGTAACTGGCAGAGTCTCAGTCATATGGGACTAATTTCTTAACCACCCTTGGCATTCCATCTTTCAACTGGAGCTTTTGTCTTTTGATCAGGTTCCACTTAACATTTTATTAATAAATTTGGTGCATCACTCTGTAATTGTTTCTTGTGGATAAGTCTGTACTCCTGGTGTGATTTTAATTAGTAGTCCTAGAGGCAGCTCATCCTTTGTAAAGATCCCTCTAAGAAGAAACTGAAGAAGACACAGAATACGTTTTAGATTGCGTGCAATCCTTCAGCTTTTCAGTCAGTATTGATTTGAATGTCTACCATTTGCCATCCACTCTGCTGGCGATGTACAGTCAAGCAATGTGTCTACTGGGCTTACACTATTAGTTTGTCCAGACAGTTGTATCCGATAATCCAAGACAGTGTGGTGTGGGACTTGAGAGAGTTAGTATTAGTTGTTATGTATGTGGGTGTCGTATGTCTATTGAGGAAACTCTTAAGCAACTTGTCTGGGAGGTGGCCTTTGAGATCATCTGATACCTAACAGGATAAGTAACAGTTGGTCAGCTTTAGCAAGGGTGGGGAGACTGAGACAGGGTGGTTGTTTGCAAGAAGACCCTTCTCTTTAGCCAGAGGGTAAAAAGGTTCATTATGGCTGCAGCACGAAGTTCAAGGGAGAGGCTGTGTAGAAGTAAGGGGTCCAGAAAGGGCTTATTACGTGTTTGGTTTTATCCTAAGAACAAGGGCTTTTTCTCTTCTTTTTCTTTTTCTTTTTTTCTTTTTTTAAGACTAGGGAACAGCACGATCAAATTTGTAGTGAGAAAGAGTCCTCTGGCTGTGCTGTGGAGAATGTTTTGGCAGAGAAGAGTTGTAGGGAGACTGCTTAAGAGTTCATTGAAGTAATGGAAAGTAGAAATGAGAGTGATCTGAACCAGGGTAGGTTAAGTGGAAGGATTCAAGAGACATTGAGCAGAGAGAGTCCTTGAGAATCATTGATTGCAGGGGAGGGCTGCGTAAGAGAAAAGGAGATATGGTCAAGGGTGCTTGGAAGTCTTTCAATTCTCTGTTCCCCTCCCATTCCTCCACCATTGGTTTTAGGCAGTCATAGATTTTGAGCTGTAATATCTGTAGCCATAAAGTAAGTACACTTGGACCCAGTAGGATACTCTAAATTGTAATCTATTCTGAAATCTTTGTAAGAATATTTTTAGAATACAAAGGGTAGTTTTATGTGAGAGAGATTCCATGTTAAAAGACTAAATAGCATTCTTAAGATATATAAAATAACTTACAAGAAAAAAGTCATATCATTTAATATTTCAGGCAAATGTAAAGATATAACCCTATTTTTTAAAATGCTATGCCATTAAACAGCAGTTCAACAGTTCATTGATGATATATTCATAAAGGAAGGAATCTGAACTTTTCAGTAGAGAATTACCCAGCCATTGCCCAGCCTTAATGGAAATAAAAATCTAGACATAAAATATAAAGTAATGAAAACATTCATTAGGCATGTAGATAGTTTCAAGTAGTTCCAAGGGTTATCAGAAGCCACATGTGATTTCCTGGGTGAAAGTCGATCAGTGCTCAAATCAAACAAGTTACTGCTTTGGGATTCCCTTTGATAGGGAATCACCGGTGTCCAGTTCACTCCTAAATACCGTCCCAACAGCTATTTCCTGCCCTCTCTTTGCCCATTCTTCTCTCTCTTTGTTCCTTTAAAGTTAATTTGTTTCTTACTAGACCGCCCTTCAATTCTTGGACTTGAGAAGTTCTCTTGAGAGGTGTAAAACAGTATGGAACTGGTGGTACCTTTATTTTGTTCTTGGTTTTACCCAAATCAGCTCTGTGGTTATGAATTTGCCACTTTCCAGGATCTTGCTTTCTATACCTCTGTAAAACAAGAAAGCTGAAGTAGATCAGTGATAAGGGAACTCTCAGGTATGATTCTTTTATCGGCCTTTTCTTTTTCCTGGCCCTGCATATCCAGTTGCTTCCAGGCCTTTGTCTACGGAGGGTCCCCCTGGTGCTTGAGATTTGTTATCAGAGCCATTCCTCATATGGAGGCTTAGAGGTGTGTTATAGCCCCCACTGTCAGAACCGAGGATCCAAAGAGGGAGCTACCAGAGAGCTGCCCCAGGGGAGGGGAGGAGGCAGCACAGCAGCTGAAAGTCTTATGCTGAAATGCTAAGAACCTGCAGGTAGGGCAGGAAAGTCATCCGTTGGTAACATTCTCTCTTGCCTTCTCTTGTTGTTGTTATTATTTTTTTAATCAAACAGATGTTTGAATTTTTTTTTCTTTTTCTTTTTTTGGCTTATGCATTTTTTGGGGGTTGGGAGATGGGAAAGGTAGGGTGGTTGCTGAAGAGGGGAAATAAGAGACCACTGAACATTTTTTTTTTTTTTAGGGACCCTACTGCCTCTAGGACCACATTTCTTTACAAAGGTTGTAATTGTTTCCTCCACCCTCGAATCCACCATTCGCACTTTTGATGTTGGCAACCCACCTCCACATCTGTTCCGGGGTGCTGCTCTATAGCATCTTTGTGAGCCCCCCTTCCTCCTTTGTCAATGTAAACCCCCCTAACATCCATCTTCAAGCTCATTTCTTCAGGGAATGCTAATAAACTCCACTCAGTGTTGATCACTAATCACATTTAAACCTCCTGGACTTCATGAACTGTTATTCTGTAAAATATATACTTAGTGTAGGTTCACATGCAGAGTAGGAAAATCCCAGGTCATATTGTACATGTTGTAGTATGTATGGTAGTATCTTCCATTACGTACTTTAACTACTCTAGAAATAATGACTTTTCACATGTTGATCTGTTTAGTCTCCAAAATGAGAGATCTAAAGAGTAATCCTTCAGCTATAAAGTCATTTGACCTGACTTGTTTTTCATTCTCATTGTGATTGCTGTGAGTTACTGAAGTTGATTAACCTTGGAAATGGGCATGTTAGCTTAAAAAAGATCACGTTTGCCTTAAAAATGCGGTAATTGAATGCTGTTTCTGAAAATGTATTGCTCCTGCTATATTACAAATGATAATTTTTAAATGTTATGTTCAGTCTATGTAAGTTTAACTATAAATTGGATATTTTAAGAAGTTGTCCTGGTCTACTTTTTGGTGTATTTTAAATTGGAAATGAATCTTTGAATACCTAATCTTTGAATACCTGGCTTAGTGATCACTGGGTTCATTGGTTTGTCACTAGAGCTCTCTTCAAAGTTGATCACTCTGGTAATAACCAAGGTGACTCCTGTCAATTGGAGATAAAGCAAATACTTTGCATTAATTCTCCCCTCCCTTTCCACTACTGTCAACCTCCTAACCAACCATCACTGCTCTCTACTTCTATGGACACAAAGATAACACAATTGCAACACCTTTTCCTCTTTCTAATACTACTCAAGATTGAAAGCTGCCCTTTGCTGATTCCCTTGGTCATGTTAGCTTTAGCTTTTGTTTTACAGGTGGAGATTACACTGTTTTCCCTGCTACCCTGAGATTACTGGATTGCAGTCTTCTAAGAAGCCAAGAAGGAGATCTAATTGATGTTTAGCAAAATAATGGTTATAGTAGAAATTTATAAGTTTGTAGAATGCAGAATAGGATTGAATGACTTTGAAGAATCTTTTAATGCATGCTTTTGAATACTTTTTTTTTTTTTTTGGCAATGAATGGTCGTTTGAAGATCTCAAAGTTCACTAGAGGTTATGACTCTTACAGTCATAACTAGTTACCTTTCCATTAAAACTCCCACTCCCACCATGCTCCCCAGTGCTTACAGTTGTCAACAGTCATGCTGTGGGGACCGACCCCACAGCAGCAAGTTCGTTAATGACTTTTTTTTTTTTTTAAATAAGGCACAAATGAAAGGATGTCTTCGTCCTCCTCTTGGCCCAGGTGGGACTGGCTTGGGGAAGACGCAGCCCAGTCGAGTTCTGCAGGGTGACTCATTCATTCTCCACACTGACCTTTGTTGCTAACCCGCCAGGAAAACTAGACCAGACATTGTTAGGATGAAAGACGACGACCGGGAGGGGTTGGTGGTGGGGAGACGAATGGAGATAAAATTTGGCCAAAGCTACGTGTCGCACAGCTGCGCGCAGCGGGACGGGCGGGGCGGCCCCCGCACCTGCGTGGAGTACGGGCCCGCGGGCGGGGCGCTGGGGGCGTGACCGGGGCGCGTCGCGGGGCGTGGCCGGGGCGTGTCTAGGAGGCGTGACCAATGGGCGGAGTCGGGGCGGGGCCAGCCCTGGCGCCGGCGGTTGGAAGGGGGTGGAGTTGCCCTTGGGGGCGGCACCGGCCCTGGGCCCGAGGCCCGTCGCCCTATCGTGCCCAAGCCCAGTGGCCCCGCGGAGCCGGCGCGCTCCCGCCTGCAGGGGGAGGGCGGACGGGGCGGCGGGACCGGCCAGGCCTCGGCGGGCGGGCGCTGTTTCTCTTTCACTTTCCTTCCTGTGAGGCCGGCGCGCTGGCGGGCGAGGAGCGTTGGCGGCGGCGGCGGCCGCTGGTAGGTATCCGGCAGGGGTGAGGGCGGCCGAGGGGCCGGGTCCCCGCCGCCCCCGCGCTCCCGTCCCCAACTTCGGGCCCGGAGCGGGCGCAGCGCCGGCCCCTCCAGGCACCTGCCGCGGCCCGCCCCGTCTGGACCCGGAGACGCCGTCGGGGGCGGCGGCGGCGGCGGCGGCCGGGGCTTGGGGGCTCCGGAGGCGCGGCCTCCCCCTCGGGGCGCAGGGGGCTGCGGGCGCCCGGCCGGCTGCGGCGGCGGCCGAGCAGCGCGCCCGCGGGCCGGGCACCTGCGGGGCGGGCGGGGCGCGCTGTGCGCGGGGCGCCCGGGGGCGCGGAAAAGTTGCTGTCACTGCCCGGCCCCGCTTCCTTTCTGCCCCGGTGACAGGGCTGGGAGGCTCAGGACCTCCATTCCGCCCGCCCCCCCCCCCCCCCCCCCCCCGTCCGGCCGCGGGCTTCCCCTTTCCGAGAACTTCTCTTCCTGGGAGCTTCCCAGATCTTCGAACCACCATTCATTTCCTACCTGTGGGGAAGGCGGGCCCACGGATGGCCAGTGCCGGGCTGAAGGTCATGCCGAGCCAGGGACCTGAACCCAGTCCCCTGTCCGTCCGTGCTCTCCTCCTGCTGCCCCCGCCGCGCAGTCTCCCTGGCGGGTAGGGTGGGCACTCGCAGAGCCTGTTTCTTGCACATTCTCAATGGCGATGGCGCCTCTTAACCTTCCTAGTTGCTTTATGTCTACTTAGCAATGAATGAACAGCTAAGATAGGAAAAAAGTTGCTGTTGAAAGAAGTAAATTTAGGAAATCACCTTTTTTTCATGCTTGTTTCCTAAGAGGATACATTTGTTATACTAAGGAACCTTTAAAGCTTTTTTTTTTTAAGTAATCTTATGTACAAGTCCATTATGCTAAACATGTCTGGGGGAAAAAAGTGAATGGTTTTCATATTTTACTGTGGGCTAGTTGCATGCATGTTGCCTCATTTAATCCTCGCCAAGGAGACTGGCTGTATTATTTTCATTTTACAGTTTGACAAACAAACAAAAGACTTGGATAAGTAACAGTGCCCGGGTTATATAGACATTTACTAAATTCGACCAGTTTCTAGCAAAGAGTTTTGTGGTGTAATAGAGGAGATAAAGAGTGACTATATATATAAAAGCCTAAGAGACTGTTCTACCATTGGGCCAGTGGCTATGATGTGCACTGACCACCAGGGGGCAGGCACAGGCATGGGAACCTGGAACAGACTGATGAATTGCAGAGGGAAAAGGGGGAGGGGAGGGCAGGAAGAAATTAACCAAAGACCTTATATGCATACCAGAGGATTTTGCACCAGTGGGGTCCCTTGGCCTGGCCTGCAGGGATCGGGCCAAAACCAGAAGTCTGATATCCCCTGAAGGGTCCCAGATTGTAGTGTCCGAATCTGTGCACCAGACCTCTAGTATAACTATAAATCAAAATATGTAAAAGGAGCCTTAGCCAATTTGGCTCAGTGGATAGAGCGTCAGCCTGCAGACTGAAAGGTCCCGGGGTAAGTTCCCATCAAGGGCACATGCCCAGGTTGCGGGCTCAATCCACAGTAGGGGGCATGCAGAAGGTTGCTGATCAGTGATTCTCTCTCATCATTGATGTTTTTCTCTCTCTCCCCCTCTCCCTTTCTCTCTGAAATCAATAAAAATATATTTAAAAGTATGTAAAAGGACAATGTAATAGGAAAGAATTAAGAGTTAAAAACCATGAAGAGATTACATCAAGGATAGCTTTGGAGAAGGGTTTTGAAGGAAAGGTAGGCTCTAGACCAGTGGTTTTTAACCTTTTTCATCTCATGGTACACAAACTAATTACTAAAATTCTGTGGCACACCAGAAAATAGATTTTTTGCTGGTCTGACAAAGAAAAATAGGTAACTTGGATTCATTCACACCAGATGGCTATTGTCATTTTTTTAATTTGACAATCTAAGGGAAAAGAAGGCAGTGCCCCTGATAAATGGTCAGCTATTGCATGTTTTAAAAATTCTTGTGGCACACCAGTATGTCTCTTGCAGGTGAAAACCAATGATCTAGATAGAGGAGAGGAAGGGGATGTTGGATAGAGGGCATAGAGCCTCCAGAAGCTAAGAAATGTAAACGTTTTTCTGGTTGTAAAGAGGAGACTTTGACATTCTTTGCTAACCTGGTAGAGAATATATGATGGAGTGAAGGTGGATGTGGATGAAAAGGAAAAGGACATCAACTTGATTTGACTACTGACTGGCTATGGGGTACAAAAAGGAAACGGGCCATTTTGATAGGGTCAGTAATGATTTTAATTTTTAATCCTTTAACTTGTGTCGCCAGGAGCTCCTAATAGAGCAGACAAGCAGACTGAAGGCATTACTAAAGAGGTAAAGATGGCAGAACTGGAGTTAACAGCCTGACTGTCATTGCTATAGAGGAGGATAGTTGAGGCTTCAGGAGTGGATCAGTTTTGCCATTATTCTGAATTACATTGTAGCAGGTTTACAGACTACGGTTACAATAAGGCAATGTTCTTTTCACCTGTTTACCTAATTTAGAACATGTAACATGTGCTGCTAATATAATGGTATTGATACAGTATGACAAATCTATACCATTTTCTCTCTTAAATTATTGTGGAAACAGGTATGGGAAAGCAGAACCACCAAAAGGAGTGATGACCAGCAATCTTGTGATAGATCTGGATGTTAGTTCTCATGCCGCAGGATATCCAGTTGGGAACTCCATACCAGCTCTTGGGATCAGACTTTTATCAACTTAAAACCCTTCGTTACCTGAACTATTGAAGCCAGCCCGAGCTAACTACGAATGGCTACCCAAAGGAAACACTTGGTGAAAGATTTCAATCCTTACATCACCTGCTACATCTGTAAAGGGTATCTGATCAAGCCAACCACAGTGACGGAATGCCTCCATACCTGTAAGTAATTTTGTCATGTACGCATCAGAAGCTATGGGTTACACTTGCTTTTTTAAAATTACCACATTTTGCTTTTATCCAGTTTTTAACTTTTAAAACAATGAGTATTCTAATACTTACCTTAACTTTAAATATATTTTCAGGATTGAATTTGTCATTGGGATACTAGTGGCATGAAATTATTCTTATATTATTTAAATTATAATAGTTGATTTTTAGCTGACACTTAAATGTTCTAAAAATAATTAGCATATTATTGGTTATAGTTTTAAGTAAACTGTTTTAGGTTTTTAATTAAGAATTATATTGAAAGCTCTAGCTGGTTTGGCTCAGTGGATAGAGCAATGGCCTATGGATTTTGTGTTCCCCGTTTGATTCCATCAAGGGCACATATCTGGGTTTTTGCTCGATCCCCAGTAGGGGGCGTGCAGGAGGCAGTCTAATAATGATTCTCTCTCATTGATGTTTCTATCTCTCCCTCTCCCTTCCTCTCTGAAATCAATAAAAATGTTTTTTAAAAATTATACTGAAGGAATTAATCTGCTCAGAGGTTTTGTTAGAATGTGCATACTTTAAACCATTGTTATTTTTAAACTATTGAGGTGTGATTAACATAAACAGCTGTACTTGTTTAATGTATACAACTTGATGAGTTTAGATTCAAGTATACACCTGTGAAACCATCACCACATCTATGCCATAAACCCATTTGTCACCTCCCAAAGTTAAATATACCCTCTTAGCAAATTTTAGATATACAACAGAGTATTGCTACCCATAGGCACCATGCAGTACTGTAGCTCTCAGGACTTCATCATCTAGAATAACCAAAACTTTGTGCCCTTGAACTCATAACTAGTAGCTCAGCATCAGTTGGGAACTTGTTAGAAATGCAAGTTCTCAGGCCCCACCAGAATTACTGAATCAGAAACTCTGGGAGTGGACCCATCAATCTGCATTTAAACAGCTCTCCATGGGATTCTGAGGCACTCAGGTTTCAGAATTACTGTTCTAAGGTGATCATATCTGTGGAACTTCCAAGTTTCTTTCTCATCTGCCCTATCAGTAGAGAAAGAAAAAAATTTATAGCCACTTATGCCAAGATTTTACTTTTGAGGTTCTGCCAATATGAATTTATTTTCTATCTCAATTAAAGTAATTCCAATAACTCTAGTTTAATACTTATTTGCACAAAACTAGATATTTTATATATCTACTACATTTCATTCTAGCTTTAGAGTAACCTTAGAGCAGTTTGGAGTGGGAGGAAAGAGAGGGTAGCCGAAACCGGTTTGGCTCAGTGGATAGAGCGTCAGCCTGAGGACTGAAAGGTCTCAGGTTCAATTCCAGTCAAGGGCATGTACCTTGGTTGCGGGCACATCCACAGTAGGGGGTGTGCAAGAGGCAGCTGGTCGATGTTTCTAACTCTCTTTCTCTCTTCCTTTCTGTAAAAAATCAAATATATTTTTAAAAAAAGAGAGAGAGAGAGAGAGGGTAAAAGGTTATCTTTATTTTGTGGGTATGGAAACTTTGAGTTAAGTAATTAAATATTATACCATAGTTTTAAACAGGGGTGCAAAATATAAAACCTGGAAATAGTTAAAATGACAAATTTTATGTTATATGTATTTTATCACAGTTTGTAAAAAATGGAATCACCTAGGAAGCGGTTTAAACATTCTCATGTTCAGAATTCTACCTGGAGAGGTTTGGTGGATGTTGTGAGATCTGGGCAGGTATATTTTGAAAAATCTTTCCAGGTGATGCTGGTGTATACTTCCTTTAGTGTTACTGGCCCATGCTGTTCAATTGGCAATTAACTATGAATTGTCTTGAAATAATTGTCTATTGCCCTATATAATTATTTAACTTGAACAATTACCAGTTAAATGTCATCAACAGACATTTGTTGAATACCTACTGTGTGCCATGCACCATTCTAAGCACAGAGGATACAGCAGTGAACAAGATGGTAAAATATCTCTGTTCTTAAGGAGTTTTATGGGAAACTAATAATAAATATGTGTCACATTAGTGATAAATGCTATGAAGAGGAACAAAGGCAGTTTGTAGATAGAAGAGATGGGGTTATTTTATATAGAGTGTCAGGGTTGGCCTCTTCAATATGATGACATTTGAATAGAAACTTTAAGGGATTGAGCATTTTAGGCAGAGGGAAAATCAAATACAAGGCCTTGAGGTAGGAATGTTCTCGGCAAGTTCAAGGAAGACCAAATCAGTTGGGAGAGCATTGCTACTGGTCAGTGGAAGATTACAGGGCCTTCACCTTGGGTAATGCGGTGTGAGATGGAGGTAGGGAAGAGTGCTTGGATTGTGGATGTGTTTTGGAGGAAGAGCCAACAGGATGTCACTGCTCTAGTGACATGTTTCCCACTATACCCAACATGTACCTGGACATGGTCCACAGTCTGTTTTGCTTTTCTGCTTCTAACATGTGTACATTGCTTTTATATTTGGATGTCTCCAGCAATAACTGCCAAATCGTTAGTAAGAAAATAAGAAGGCACAAATTTTTCATTTTCTACCTATATAATATAGATTTTATATCTGTTCTTCTCAAAAAAATATTTGGGGCATAATGAAATCCCAATTTAAATGTAACTTTTTTGGAGGAAAGACAAAAGATTCTAGAAGTATAAATAATCCATTTATAAGCAAGGGTTATGTTTATGCTTGCAACAACAATTTAAGGTATAAAAAGGGTGAGTGACTGTTTAACTGCATTTTCAGTCATTCTGGCCTGAACAATCACTTGGAAGTTAACAAGCCCCTTTACTGAGAGAGAATAAAAATGACAGCAGTGTGATTAAAAGACAGTGGGGGAAAACAAATGTGACCTTCTATCATCAACAGATAACAAAGAACAGAGTAAATGATGGAGTACTCAACCCAGGGTCACAGTGCTAACCTTTTTGCACGTCTAGTCCTTGGAATTCTATGTTTTTGTTTTTGTTTCTTTTTAGTTACAATAGGGCTTATATTAGGCAAAAGTTATCTCACTAGAAACATGTCCTCTTATTAGTATTGATAAAATAAGTAGCACCACAAAGTAGTGTTTTTCAGTCATTGTTTGGTCTTTGGTATTACCTGGTTTTCTTATGTATAATGTGGGACAGATAGAGAGGCACTGTGATTTGGGAGCAGTATAAAATAGAAAAATAAGAAACCAAATGGAACAAGAAGAAAGTGAGAAGTGTTAAATGACATTGTGATACTCCATAATATTTTCAGTCTTGACTTAGTTATATAAAAAAAATATTAAGGCAACTTTGTACAAAGACTATTCTTTTAAATGATACTATAAGTAAAGAATAATTCTTATTATGAAGCTAATTATAAATAAAAGATTTGGGTCTTACTGTTCAAGTTTGAAATATGTAAGTAGAGCTTTATTAGTGGTGAGCAAAACCAGACGTGGAATCTGCCTTTCTGGACTTTCTGATCAAGTAAAGAAAGATAGAGTAATCAAGTTAAATGTACAAAAGCCGTAGCTGGTTTGGTTCAGTGGATAGAGCGCCAGCCTGTGGACTGAAGGGTCCCAGGTTAGATTCCTGTCAAGGGCACATGCCTGGTTGCTGGCTTGATCCCCAGTAGGGGGCGTTCAGGAGGCAGGCAATCAATGATTCTCTCCTCCTGTCTTCTCTTAAATCAATAAAAACATATTTAAAAATGTATAAAATAAAATTTGATGTTAATTGTGATGAAAATACTACTAATGAAACAGAATGATAAAATAACAGATGTGTGTCAGGTTATTGCAATAGAATGGAATGCAAAAGAAGGAACTAAAGTGTTTTCTGAAATTCCTAAAGCCATTGGTCCTAGATCTTCTCAGGCAGGGACATTAATTTTGGGGCGGTAGAGGTACATTGGGGTGGGAAGTAGGGATCATGAGTGGCTCTCTCTACTTTGATATGGATAAATTAAGTTGCTTTATTCTTCTTTCAAAATATTCTGCAAAGGCAGGTCAGCTTTTTCTCTCTTCAAATCAGAGAGGTTGTTGCTCTCCCATTTCCCATTGAAAAATTCTGGAGCTAATACTGACTGGCTCCCATGTAGATGTAGAAAGAAGGGCCAGAAGGACCTGCAGGATGGCTGAGTGCAGCAGCCCTTGATGTTGTTAGCACTTGAGCTCCTTAGAAGGAGAAGAAAGGGGCAAGCCAATCAGAAGGAAGGGGGAGCCAGAGGGGATTTATAAAAGCTTACTAACATCACTTCCCTTCAGCAGGCCAATGACATTCTATAAAAAGATGAAAGTTTAAACATTTAAAACATAAATATGAGTTTTTAGTTCTAAATGAGAAAATATTAGAGGAACTAAATCTGCATTTACTATAGTTATAAGTCTATAAGATAATTTTAATAATGCAACAAACATAATGAAATAAATATGTTCTCACAGATAATTATTGAATTTTGTCTATAAGATAATTTTAATAATCCAACAAACGTAATGAAATAAATATGTTCTCACAGATAATTATTGAATTTTTAAAAATAAATAATTAACACTTTAATTATTTTAACCAATAATTAGATTGGTTAAAAAAAAGATAATTGGGAACTTAAAACTCTATCAAGCAAAACTTCTCATAAGACAAGAAGAAATTTCTACACATGTATTTGGATCTTTTTCTTTTTTGTGTGAGCTCATCTACTCTGAGATGTCAGTTACCTTGTTGATATCTCACAAATGTTTATTTCTGGCATAGTCCTTTCCTCTGAGTTTCAGAATCCAACCAGATGTCCACTTAGATGACCTAAAGTCGGTGGAACTCAACATTATCTAACAACGAATGAATGAGATTCTAACACTCAGTTGTCCAAATGAGGTGTATTCCGCACATCACCCTCTTTACCTTTACTATCAAAACAGGGGCAAAGTCCTGACTGGTTTCCCTCCTTAGTATCTCTTAAATATGCCCCTTCACTTCCTTCCCCCATGACTTTATTCAGATTCTCATTACTTCTCACCAGTC